ATCAAACCTGTACTAATAGTGCATTTCCAAATCGTAATGCACTTTCAAGATTCTTGCGGAAGGCATCATCAAGGAAACTAAAAAGATTGTTACATTATCAAGAAATTCTTGATGAACATGCAGTGAACATTACAAATTTGATATACGGCTGCAAAATGTTACCTTGTTTTTGTAATTCTACGTCCCTTGTATTCATTCATGATAAATTCAGTGGCTTGACCCGATGGATCAATAATCAAGGGATATCTATTGAATCGCTTTAACATGATGGCATTTTCAGTGCAAAGATCATCAGTAGGAAGTGCATTAGCTTGCCATGCAAGTCGATCATCAGCAGTTGACAGGTACTAGAATGAAAACCAAAAGCTTTACATAACTTGTGTAACATAAGTTATTAAATGGTGATTAAGTTCAGGAATAGTCATTCAAATTTACTCAAGTGCAGTAACTCTAAAGAAAAGGAGATGAAATATAACACCATATTTACATCAGGAATATTTTCTAGATTTTCCGCTCTCCTAAAAGTTCTGAAACTATTGAGGTAAAACAATGAACAAAGAAAAGCCAAGTTCTTCGACTGTAACAGCCAACTCTTTAAGTAGTTTGTATTTTACATAGATCCACATAGGGTATATACGGATACGATATTTAAAAAACCCTAATGAGTTCCTATAATATCCACCTCAGTCCTAGCAAGATCATGGCGAAACTCCAAACCAGCTTGTTGAAGATGGTGACTCCAAGTTGTGAACAAATTTTGACGAAGCTGCTGATCGAAATATCCTGCAAGTTACTCATATAAATTATTATTGCAGCAAACCATTGCTTTAATATGACAAATAAACATAAATTACCTGCATAAGCCAAAAATGCTGACGATAGCATTACATCACCGACAATGGTTCCCATTTGAGCTTGAAAAGCGTTGCTTGTGTCTTGCCAACGACTGCGTTCATCAGACAAACTCCTTAATAATGCCACGCTCCTGTTTACTTTTGCTTCAACAGCCGTCATCTCGGTCTTTATGGCTTGTGCTTCACTAATCAAGGCAGCATACTCTTCTTTGTATTGCGCTATGCTTTTCTCCAGACCAGTAATAACTTTGGCAATTTCAGCAGCCTGGTCAAGTTAATCATAATGGTAACACTACACTCTCCATTCACATGATTAAAGAGAAATACAACGACGTATAGTATTTAACAAAAGTAAAGGCGATTTCAACTGACTTGTACAGAAATTTAAAAAGATTGTAAGCGGTGAGACTGAGGTACTTTATTTAACAACTTCGTATTCATTAAATTCCTATCATTGTGTATAAACACAACTCGTTGCCCGCTTTATTTTGTCAAAATCATATTTCATAGAGATATTTTTACCTTAGCTTCAGCAGCACTTGCTTCAGTTTCTAAACTCTTCAGTTCATGGCGTAAAGGTTCTATTTTCAACAACATATCAGCATATTTCACCTTCAATGTAAAAAAATCATTAATTGAAGATAATCACACGAGCAAATGCTTTATATACATATTCACATTACTTTTGACTGCAATTTAATGTGAATATACAATACTAAACATGATTATCTGAACTATTGTAGCTTATATTCTTTTTTTTACAAAATTAAATGAAGTTAATCGCATGATAGTGAAGTTTTCGAATTATTATCATCAAAACAGTATATTTTATAAAGATGTTTAAATATACATAATCCATAGATCTTTCTTTCTACCACAATGAGAAAAAATTAAACAGGATATGTGTATACCAGTGCAATGGACCACAAGCTTGACTTACACGATTGACTTTATTAAAGTTGTAGTCTGGCTGAGACATGTACTTGTTCAACATTTGAGCGCGAACTTCTTCACTACAGGAACATAGAACACAATACGTAAAACACAAATCAAAAGAGGAAAAGAGTTTACGAGACAGCAAAAATAAAAAACATTTACAATATATTTCAAAGAAAGATGTCATGTTCTGACTATTCTATAGTAACAGAAAACAACTGGGGTGTATGTCGTTATCACTCGTGAACTGTCCAAATACTTCAAAACCCGTTTGTTTCCACATTAACTCTGTGTTCATTTTAAAGATGTAAAAAAGGGAAAAATTCATGTAACCATTCAGCTAACGTCTGATCAAATAGGTGATAGTTGTCACATTAACTGTTGGTAAATTTATGTGGCACAATGCAGTTGTAGAACAAGGAATGACGTGCGTAACATCCTTGCACATATCAGATTTGTGCGTAGCTAACAATCATTATATAAAGCAAAATTATAACAATAGAACATCACACATTGCGATAGATACTGTACAACGTGATGATGAAATATATCCAAAAAAATAAATACAGAAAGTTGAATAAAATGAGTTATCTACCAATAAAGAACACAGGTACTTGATCAAAAATTTTAATTTCAAAGCAGGGCAATAATTACCTGATATTTTCTGTTTGGAAAGTAACAATGGTAGGAATAAAATTATCTCTCATGATGATACTGCGAATGGCCCTCCAATCAGTTGCCTGTTCACCCAGTAGTAAACATATAGACTCTAAAGCAACTTTAACTGCTTGAGGTGGATTGGCCATTGAACGCACTTCAACCAAATGTTGCTTTTTAATTGATTTTACAGCTAAATATTAAAAAAAATTTGAAATAAGAGGAATAGAAATATGATCAAAATAACTTCTCCAAATAACGCTGAATGTAAAGAAATGGGATTATGCATAAAGCAAGACATCTTGAGATTGCAAAATATGAATCAAAACAAGACGAGAAGAGAACTGTATATTTTCGACTTTATTTCAAAGTCATCCTCACACAGAATAATGGGATTATGCATAGAATGTGAAATAATACAGTGATTAACTTTTCTTTGTTTATATTAAAGCAGGACAAAGATAGCTTAGATAAAAATGCAACTTTAGCGAAGACAAAAACGCCACATATTACGTGACTTGTTTGCTTAACCACTAAATTTAACATAGACAGTTGACATCCACAAACATTACCTTGTTTAGCGTCTTGTACTGCAGGCTCAACCTGCGCTAAATCGTCCATAACAAGTGCTTTCTTTTCTTTAATCTTCACTGTTTGTTGCTGTAGACGGTTTATCACATTTTTCATCAACATATTGTTTTAAAAAGTTGATATAAACGTTTAAACATACCGCAATAGCCGCCTGAAGTTCTGTAGAAGTCACTCTATTTTTTCTCTGCCTCCTGTTGATCTTTTAACTAAACATGTGGCACGAAAGTCATAATCAAGAAATAATGAAACAAGATATATTAAATTACAAAAGATTGCAACATAAAACAACAATAAAATTGATTCATTAGAACAAGATTAGTCGTAAAAATATAACAAAGAACACATAATGTAATACATAATGGAACTTATCGTAGAAACCGAAGTGGACCGGGGGGATACGATAGTTGTACTACATTCTATGAACACTACGTAGGTTAAAATTCAGGGCAAATTATTTATTGGTAAATCTTACTACAGCTACAATGACAGGTTGCTGACTTAACTTATGTTGCCCGAAACTGCACTTTTTTCTAAAATGTATGTTATTCTCATTCAAAAATCATTTAATCAAGAGATAAATTGAGAAGATTGCAGCAAGAGTGAAGTTGAATAAACAGACACAAAAGCTGATTAATAAAAACATACAATGACACTGAGACGATTTAAATTGTCCAGCAAAGTGCGAAGATCATATCTCGATTTAAAAAACATACAGGTACAAAAGGGGATAAATGGTAAAAAAACCACACGAAGTTGTTAACGAACGAAAAGGGAAACAAACGAACATACGTACCATCTGTTTCAGTTTTTGATTAGCTAATGCATTCTTTGCTTCCAATTCTTGACTCTTCATGGATAAACTTTTTTGAAGTTCTTCGACCTAAACACAAAATAAACATAAAACAAAGGAAGAACATTCATGCATTTTTTTATACAATCAACATACGCACCTGCTCAACAGTTTCTTTTATTTTTGTCAAACCAACATTTAAATGAAGTTGTTGCTCTTCCAAATCTGATCGTTTCTCGTTGTACAGTTTTACCTTTAAAAAGATTTAGAAAAATAATGAACACGCAGGCGGGGCGTGACTGTTTTGAACACGCGTGACGTGCTGTTTTGAACACGCATGGCGTGATTGTTTTGAACACGCGTGACGTGACTGTTTTTAACACGCGTGACGTGACTGTTTTGAACACGCATGGCGTGACTGTTTTGAATATGCGTGGCGTGACTAAGCCAATTCGATAATTGAGGGTGTAGAGAGTGATATTCATAAAAGCATGTTTCCCCCTCTTAAACACATGATTACATGAATATTCCCTCCTCTCGACTATCAAAAATTACTACGTCACTGACTGTATAGCATTCGTTTGAGAATGTTTACATTGAGACAACAATGTTTTTTAGACTAAATTTAAAGTCCCAAAAACTTACGTAGTGATTAATAAAACCCAGGTAATGTCTAGGAGTTATTGCCATACAACGTCCTCCGCGTTTAGCAAGACGAGCATTTGCTTCATGTAAAGTTTGATGTACAAATACAAAAGCGTTGCTAACTGCCTCATGGTGAGTAGGTGGAATCGATAATCCTTCATAAACAACACGAATGTAGTCTGGAGCACGATACTAAATGATGAAAAAATAAACAAATAATTTTACCAAGTACTTATAGTAAACATAAGTCAATATAATAAAACTTTACCAATGAATTGTCTAAATCAATCTTGCTCGTAAATTCTTTACCAACTTGATAGAGTGCACCAGTCGACCAATCACCAAACCAATTCAATACGCATCTGTATGGTTAATACAAAATTCGTTGTAACATGAAGCTAACTAAGGCCCGCTTTCAAACTTTACATATGTCGAATGAATTAAAGACAAAAAAACTAAGATAAATTGACATTCAAAACGGACGTAACACATGCAAAAGCCTTATCCTTCCATTAACAGATGTTTACCTGTTAAACAATGCAGGAGAAGTGGCGGCTCTGTCTTTCAGTCCTTCAGAAGATGGATTCATTGTAAAAACAACGTGAAGATTTCTTATTACCTGCAAATAAACAATTCACACTAATAAACATTGCTTATGAAAGATAATAAATATTCTGGTATTTCCTTTACATTAAAAAGTGGTTTTAATTTTTGTTTCTATATACAATATTTATATGTACATTATGATACAAACAAAATAATGAGATAATAATATCCTAACTTGATTGCCACCTCAAAACTCCTGATGGTGTTAGATCTGCAGACAGGGAAGTGATCCTTTCCATGTTGTCTTGCATGTTACCAAGACTATCTTCTCCATCACTCCATGTCAGATCTTCTACATAGCCTGTTACATTCTGGTCTTCCATACTCATTAGCACATCTTGAAAGAAGTCAATCATTCCCTCTTCAATCACATGCCGCGAGCTTCTTCTTTTTTCTGAATAATATGGCACGAAACATGATACTAAATAATTAGCATCAGCTGGTTGTCCAGATCGCCCTTTGACAAAAAGCTGCTTGCAAAAATCACCCTCGGCCTGCAATAAGGCCAAAAAATCTACTATAATCACATCATCTTGCCATTGGGTGTTAGATAAACTAATCTTGTCATTGTCAAATTGATACTGTAACTTGATAGCAATGGTTTATCCTCCTCTACTACAGACTTTAATTGTTTTCTTGCTGGTTGATCAAGTTCATCATCAGTATCAGACTTCTTATCTTCCTTGCTCCTTCTTACATCATCTTTACTGCAGACATACAAAGACATAGCTCTCGCCCCGTATTTTACTATAAAAGATTAAGTAGTATGCTAAAAATTAATGAATAGTGAATAATGGAAAAAAAGCTCGTCATTTTCGATATTTTAGTTTTACGGTAAACTGACACGTCACTTCCCTTGGCCAATTATTTCTAAAGAAATGAATATTGATGTGTCGCTCAAAGCTTTCATATATAAAGCTTTCATATATATCGCTCAAAGCTTTCATATATAAAGCTTTCATATATAAAGCTTTCACTGTCCACATATTTTTCAATTATCTTGTTAGAAAAGTTAGATATAATTTACCTATTCCACACTGTGTACATTAATTTGGCATTACTTTTGTGCTCTGTGCCACATATACAACAAAATTTCGCAACTTCAAAAGAACTTTTGCTTTTTTTCGCCATATTCTATTTATGTTTATCAGTCCCAGTCTCTTCGAATACTGCTCTTGTGCCGTGAGGAATTTTGGTTGTGCCGTGAGAAGTTTTGTGTGTGCCGTGAGATTTTGTTTGTGCCTTGAGATTTTGTTTGTGCCTTGAGATTTTGTTTGTGCCTTGAGATTTTGTTTGTGCCGTGAGATTTTGTTTGTGCCTTGAGATTTGGTTGTGCCGTGAGATTTTGTTTGTGCCTTGAGATTTTGTTTGTGCCTTGAGATTTTGGTTGTACCGTGAGATTTTGGTTGTGCCGTGAGATTTTGTTTGTGCCATTTTGTTTGTGCCATTTTGTTTGTGCGTGAGATTTTGTTTGTGCCGTGAGATTTTGTTTGTGCCGTGAGATTTTGTTTGTGCCGTGAGATTTTGTTTGTGCCGTGAGATTTTGTTTGTGCCGTGAGATTTTGTTTGTGCCGTGAGATTTTGTTTGTGCCGTGAAATTTTGGTTGTGCCGTGAGATTTTGTTTGTGCCGTGAGATTTTGTTTGTGCCGTGAGATTTTGTTTGTGCCGTGAGATTTTGTTTGTGCCGTGAGATTTTGTTTGTGCCGTGAGATTTTGTTTGTGCCTTGAGATTTTGGTTGTGCCGTGAGATTTTGTTTGTGCCGTGAGATTTTGTTTGTGCCGTGAGATTTTGTTTGTGCCTTGAGATTTTGGTTGTGCCGTGAGAATTTGTTTGTGCCGTGAGATTTTGGTTGTGCCGTGAGATTTTGTTTGTGCCGTGAGATTTTGGTTGTGCCTTGAGATTTTGTTTGTGCCGTGAGATTTTGGTTGTGCCGTGAGAATTTGTTTGTGCCGTGAGATTTTGGTTGTGCCGTGAGAATTTGTTTGTGCCGTGAGATTTTGGTTGTGCCGTGAGATTTTGTTTGTGCCGTGAGATTTTGTTTGTGCCGTGAGATTTTGTTAGTGCCTTGAGATTTTGGTTGTGCCGTGAGAATTTGTTTGTGCCGTGAGATTTTGGTTGTGCCTTGAGATTTTGTTTGTGCCGTGAGATTTTGGTTGTGCCTTGAGATTTTGTTTGTGCCGTGAGATTTTGGTTGTGCCTTGAGATTTGGTTTTGCCGTGAGATTTTGTTTGTGCCTTGAGATTTTGTTTGTGCCTTGAGATTTTGGTTGTGCCTTGAGATTTTGTTTGTGCCGTGAGATTTTGGTTGTGCAGTGAGATTTTGGTTGTGCCTTGAGATTTTGTTTGTGCCGTGAGATTTTGGTTGTGCCTTGAGATTTTGTTTGTGCCGTGAGATTTTGGTTGTGCCTTGAGATTTGGTTGTGCCGTGAGAATTTGTTTGTGCCGTGAGATTTTGGTTGTGCCGTGAGAATTTGTTTGTGCCGTGAGATTTTGGTTGTGCCCTGAGATTTTGTTTGTGCCGTGAGATTTTGGTTGTGCCTTGAGATTTTGTTTGTGCCGTGAGATTTTGGTTGTGCCGTGAGATTTTGTTTGTGCCGTGAGATTTTGGTTGTGCCGTGAGATTTTGTTTGTGCCATTTTGTTTGTGCCGTGAGATTTTGTTTGTGCCGTGAGATTTTGTTTGTGCCTTGAGATTTTGGTTGTGCCTTGAGATTTTGTTTGTGCCGTGAGATTTTGGTTGTGCCGTGAGATTTTGGTTGTGCCGTGAGATTTTGTTTGCCTTGAGATTTTTTTTGTGCCTTGAGATTTTGGTTGTGCCGTGAGATTTTGGTTGTGTCGTGAGATTTTGTTTGTGCCGTGATATTTTGTTTGTGCCGTGAGATTTTGGTTGTGCCGTGAGATTTTGGTTGTGCCGTGAGATTTTGGTTTTGCCGTGAGATTTTGTTTGCCTTGAGATTTTGTTTGTGCCTTGAGATTTTGGTTGTGCCGTGAGATTTTGGTTGTGCCGTGAGATTTTGTTTGTGCCGTGAGATTTTGTTTGTGCCGTGAGATTTTGGTTGTGCCGTGAGATTTTGTTTGTGCCTTGAGATTTTGTTTGTGCCGTGAGATTTTGTTTGTGCCGTGAGATTTTGGTTGTGCCGTGAGATTTTGTTTGTGCCTTGAGATTTTGGTTGTGCCGTGAGATTTTGGTTGTGTCGTGAGATTTTGTTTGTACCGTGAGATTTTGTTTGTGCCGTGAGATTTTGGTTGTGCCGTGAGATTTTGGTTGTGCCGTGACATTTTGGTTTTGCCGTGAGATTTTGTTTGCCTTGAGATTTTGTTTGTGCCTTGAGATTTTGGTTGTGCCGTGAGATTTTGGTTGTGCCGTGAGATTTTGTTTGTGCCGTGAGATTTTGTTTGTGCCGTGAGATTTTGGTTGTGCCGTGAGATTTTGGTTGTGCCGTGAGAAGTTTTGTTTGTGCCGTGAGATTTTGTTTGTGCCTTGAGATTTTGTTTGTGCCATGAGATTTTGTTTGTGCCGTGAGATTTTGTTTCTGCCGTGACACCTATGGGCCACCGTAAAGTTGATTATATACCCTAACGAAAGTTCTAGATGTAGAAAGTACTAGGTTGGGTTACTAGAAAAATTTAATTTTAACATAATTCTAACAATGGTGTCAAAAAATTGTTATATGATAAAAATATCCCATATTTGGCACCTCATAGATGAATGTTTATCACCTTGAGGTCGTCACCTTGGACGGCAACAAAAAAACAAACAGATTTACTGAGGTCACAAATAATTTCCATACGGCATATTGAAGAGAACAAAAGATGAAAAGCTTGTATCTCTTTGTCGCGCTCCTACTTGGGATCTTAGGAAATCCTCAGTTTGTGGTAACAAAGTCAATAGTAACATTGTTTTGCTTCTTGGAAGTTGAATTTTATCCTAATTTAATGTCTGTTGACATGAGAATGGCTAAATTAATATATTAGTAAAATAACGGCTAAACTAATATATTAGTAAAATAAGAGAACAGTAAAATAACGAAAACCCAACCAAAAGCCCAACTTAACCGACTGTATTTAAAACAAAACAAAATTAGTTCACGAACATCTTTAACTAACTTTTCTTTCCGATACTTTTGGCAAATTATAAGTTCAACGTCGAAAACGTTAATACGGATCTAATTAAGAAATTGAAATTATCCTTAGAAAATCAAAGTGGTTAAAGGAAACGACCCAGGATTATGTTATAAAAATAGCAGTGAAAAGATGACGCTGGTTCGTGATCGACAAAACATACCTAAACTCTTGATATGTTCAAATGTCAACGGTGTTTTTTCATGGAGAACAGTAGACGGTAGATATGATAGTTCATGGTTTATTTCAGTATTTCAATGATGACTAAATTATCTATAGCTGCTCTGGTTTATTTACAGGCTCTAGTTCTCCAGGAGAATTTTTCAACCCAGTATACGACTGTTCAACCATATTGAATAAAGATCCAAGAGCTGAAGATGGATTTTATTGGATAACACTTGGAGATAAGAAACCAAAAAGGGTAAGAATATATAAGATCAATGTTATTTTCACAGATTATGGAGCAACATTATTTCAACTCACTTATTATGTTCGTTTATAAATATATTTAAAAAATTTTTATTGATTTTAGGCTTGAACAAATTTTTAAAATTCCGATGAGATTATTTTCATTAAAGGTTTATTGTGACATGACGACTGATGGTGGTGGGTTCATGTTGATTGGTCGGCAAAATACATCCGTTACATGGACAGTACCATCAAACAACAAGACCGTGGAACCATTTGGTGAACCTCATTGGATAAGTTCATTAGGAGAGGCACCAATGGTTGATTTTAGAGTACAAATGGCCATTAAAGATGATTTTAAAACAACTCAAGCTCATTGGTACAAAAATGATTACTTTTGCAAATAGTTTCCTCAGCAAAAAAAAAATTTTAGTCGATGTCAATAATTTCAGGTTTTACAGATTTCAAAATCCACGTAAATTG